AGGCATTTTTTTGAAGAAATTGGGCTGTGAATGCTAGATATTGAAAAACTAATATTAAACTTCTATACTGGTTAGGGTTAGGGTTAGGATGAAATATGTGGACAATTTTAAGGTTTATAACGGTCTGTTCTTGAGGCAGCTGCCACCCCAGCTTGGTGTCAAAGGCTGCCAAATTTAACACATTCATTTAGATTAATAAAAAAAAGTGTTAAAAATGATCTGTTATGGCCACATTTTAGACTAAGTGATTAGTTAGATAAGTTTATGTTAAAAAAAAGATTTTCTGACAAAACAATAATCGTATATATGTGATTATTTGCTAATAAATCAGCATAGAGTTGACAGGTTGCCACCTCTTAAAGTGTCCATGCCATCCTCTGGCTACCACATGAAAATTTCTGTAGATCTGTAGGCCAGGGAGCAAGCGTGCCTGTAATAACCAAATACATGTAATATAATAATTTTATTATGATGACAAGTCATCCAGAGGTTGCTTGTGGCAGTGTAAAATAAAATTGTCACATAATGTGTGGGCCCCCGCAGAACATATCCACAACCTGCAGAGGGGGCTGAAAGGTTTTAAGGACCCAGTATCAGTTATCTGGTGATGAACAAACCCAGAGTATGGAGCTCATGCATGAATGGGAAATTAACGGGTATTGCAAAAAATGCCTGAGAGAGTGGAACAAATTTAACTTTTATAAATATTTCCATTTTAAATATTTATTTTAGTTCATATGGAACTGGAAGCCAGATTATTTTGAAATACTTACCTGTGTCTTTATCACATACTTAACATAAAAAAAGTAAATCCCCTAAAGCATCACTTTTGATTTTTAGTGACTTACCATCTGAGCTTTAAACATGTGAGCACACCTGGAACTTTACTGTGTCAAATTAACAGTATGAGTGAGTACAGAGTATGTGTAGTAAAAGCAAGCCTAAAGGCAAGCAGCAAACATATATTCTGCTGTTCTTCTCTTCTAGAATATATACAGCACATATACAGTTCACACTAAAACATAGTAAAATGTAAAAAAAAAATGAGGCAACCAAACACAGGGTCATTTTATTCCATTTATTTTTCTAATCTTACTTTCACTGCTTACCTTTAAATTTTTCTCTTTTTACAATGACAAATTATATTTCCCCAGTAACAATTAGGATTAGATCATTTGGGGATCTTCAAAAATAATATACAGCTGTAACCAATACTGTTATAATTTATACATTTATCTTTGAAAATAGGAATAAATTTAACTTTCTCTTTTCTACAATATTCTCTTTTTATCTTCCCATGTCACATAATGGCAAGCCATGCACTACTACAGTAGTGATGTTTGTGCCTTAAGCAAACTTTCTTTGGACACTGGAAGTGAGCGTGAGTGAGAGAGAAAAAAAGTTCACAAAAATGACAATTCATATTTACAGTTCAGGTGTCATCATTATAATTTAACAAACTGACAGTCACGTGGTCAGTGCTTTCCCCAGGGCTCATCATCAGGTTAGTTTAGAGGCAAAGTCTGAGACACAGAGGCACAGTGTTTAGACTAGCAGGCCAGTTTGTTTTTTTCGTTTAAGGGCAAGCTCAGAGCCTGTTGTTTTATGATTTATTAGAACAGGAAAATGTTAACCAAAAGCGTGATCAAGGACCCTGATAGATAAAATGATCAGTTTCAGTTCTAACATCTGTCTTTGGTCATTTTGTAAGCAGGAATTTGGATCTGGTTAAAGTGCAATCACCTTCAGCTCTGCTAAAAGGGAATGTTTTGTCAGCTCTGTGGTCTCACTGTCTAGTTATACTGTTGCAAGTCATGTTAGTCCCCAGACTGTGTTCAAGTCTCATCCCATTTCCTCTTTGTAATGCAAAAAGAAAAAAAAATCCATTACTATAAAGTATTAAATCTGTTGGGGCAAACCTCCAGTCACACTAAAAGGTCTGAAGCTGAACTCAGCAAGCCTAGGAGTGAGTTTTTTTTAGGTGTTGTGGGTTGACATGAGGTCTCACAACCTACAGCTCCACTAATAGAAATTATAGCATATGATTCGTCAGTCAAAACATTAGGTCTTAATCAGAGATATACAATAAAAAAATGAGTGTTTCCATGCAGGACCTGACTCCATCTGGGAAGACAACAGTAGAAACTGCAGACTCTGCCACGTATCTAAACCCTGAAGAGGTCACAGCAACCTCAGCATTATTGAAGAGTGCAACGACCTCGACAAACGACCATTCTGAGCAGGTCACATTCAAGCTTTTGCACACGATGGCAAGTCACCCAAAGACAGTATATCTTTGCTATGAACATTTCTCTTAATTCAATAAATTCTCCCACAGATTCATTCAGCGTGAATTAATCTCTCCCTTGTGAATTCAAAAATGTACAAACGTGTTTCAGCAGAACAGATCACTGAGTGTGAGTTGTCGTTTGTGTCAAATGATGAATAAATATATCTGCATGTTATTAACAAGAAAAAAAAAAAAAATAACCAACAGGTACTGTACACGCTACATGCTAGAGAAGAATACAGGCAGCTGTCTCTCAGCATAAGACAAGAAAAAGAAATGTTCTTTACTTCGGACTATAAAAATACCTAGAATCTAGAATGAGTGTAGAAAAAACTTTACATGTACAAGTCATTTACATCCAAGGCCATTTTTTCCATGGAGTGGCAGGTGAAGAAGAGCAGTGACACAGAGGTGAGAAGGGTGGAAAATAGGAATTCTTAGCATATTGGTGCAGAACGCCATGCTGTTTGGACAAAAACAACCTCCCACGACAACCGTTCAACTATAAATCCATCAAGGGGTCCGGTGGGTGATTCCGACACCTGTGTCCAGTTTCTGAGTCTGAAAGAAATGTCGAAAAAGCATTGTGAGATGGCCGCACAGTACCAACAAGCACGGCATTAGTCCAGAGTCAGTCCCATACATCTTCAAAAAAGCAGATGTCGCTTCAGCAGAGGAAATAAAGAGCAGATTTGTGTCATCTGCCCTCCACCAATGTCCGCTTTCTTGCCCAGCATTATTGCTAACAAAGTCTGCCACGTCTCTTCAGTATCATGTCTGCAGATCTGGTCTGGAAAAAGATTAAACTGGCCAATAGCCAGCAAAAGAAAGCTCATCTGAACTCCTGATGGCTGAAAAAATACAGTATGTAAATGAAATACATCCTCAGACATGGCTGCATGTTTGTTTTTGTAGTATTCTTAAATATTTCCAATTCAATATGGCATTAAACTTAGTGTGATGCATTTTTTTCTTTAGCGTGATGGGATGTCAGTAGCAACAAATCCCACACACTATCATCTTCATATGGGCTTCAAACTATCTTCATTTATGATTTGATCCCTTCAAAATAAACATTTTCTTTCTTTTAACATAACAATAATGAAATCAAAACAAAACTTAGTGCAAAGTACAACAGTTTGATTCACATACAACTTGTCGAATGTCAATATTTTTACCGACATCAAATCACTAGTGCAGCAAAAAAAAAAAAAAAAAAAAAAAGAAGGTTGGTCACCTGGATATATTGCTCCCCATCGCTTTCACTCAGCAAGAGAACACTGGAGTCAGGTGGGCTGCACTATATATAAAACTACACTACAATTCCCAGAACCACTTATCAGTTTCCCTTCATGCTTAGTTCAAGTGTTTGGAGAGTTTAAAAAGTGAACTTGTGAGTATATATTTTGTCAGTTACAGCACCCAGTCCACACTTAGTGAGATATGTTTGAGTTGTTTACTATTTGTGACAGGGAGTAATGGGAAATGTAGTATTTTTTTTTTTCCATTTTTCTTTTTTTCCACTTGAGGTTTTCAGCCCACCTAAGCTCCAGGACCCTGTTTCATTGTAAAATAAAATGTAATGAGATGAGGGAAATTATAAACCACCCAGTTCTTTCATTTGGGGCATTGAAGCTTATATTCCTCCTCCTAGTGTCACCAAGCTTTTTTCAAAACCTTTAAGTAACACTAAGTAAAAAAAAAGGAAATGTCAAACACCCTCTAATGTCAAACACCTCTCACACACACACACACACACACACACACACACACACACACACACAAAACCCTCAGGGCATTTCTTATTATCGACCCCTAGAAATGTCCCTCACTTGGGTTCACTGGAAAGACGAATGTTTTAAAGGACAGAACACACTGTTATAGGGACCAGTAGGCAGCACAGCAAGCTTTTAACCTATTAAAAAGACAAATTCAAAAGAGAAACTGCTGCTTCGATTACCTGACCCATGCTTCATGCGGCTTTTCTCGCTCGTGAATAAAAGCACGATTCAGCCTGGTTCAGGAGATCACAGCCCCACATACCACCACCATCCCAGTTAACACTACACTGAGGCATGTATGGTATGTAGAATTCATGAATACTTTGATCACCTTTCATTTAAGGCCTTTCGGTACTGTATAATTGTCTGACTGTTGTTTATAACTCAATCAAACATTGACACTTTTCTTTTGGAAAGGGACAGGAAGATTTTCTACTCTTTCTGATACTGACCTCTTTGCACACATTTACACATTCACTCTCTCAACAGGGGGAGACTCGGGTCCCTCTGGCCAAATACATGGAAGTCACCAGAACCCAAGTGTACTCAGGAGGGTTAACACATACACTCACAGATAAGCACAGACTCAAGGGATATCTAACTGAAAATTGCTTAGCCACGGACTTAGAAATCTTAAGTTCTCCTTTTTTTTTTTGGGGGGGGGGGGGATTGGATGACTCGAGTATGTTGTGGTTTTCCTACCAAACTGATGTGAGAATATTTTTACATCCTTTCCTGGTGGTTCTCTTTTAGCCAAGTATTTCTAACAGCCTGAGGAGTAACTGTGTGTGGCTGCATGGTGTCTATTTGACCTCAAGGATGGAGGGGTTGGACTCCATGATGGCCACGATGATTTTGTCAATGTAGTCCTGGAGTCTGTAGTTGATCTCCTCTTGTTTGTGGATAGCCTCCATCAACTAGAAGTAGAGAAACAGCAGTTAGTGGAGATAAGTTACTCAAATTCAAATAAAAAGATGAACTGACACTAAATGTTACACAATATCTTTTTCTAAACCCACCTCCGTACGAGACACAGAGTTGATCTCAGCTGCCAGGGAGTCGGAGAAGGAGGCCGACATCAAGTTCTTGGCTCCCTGGATGCTCAGGTTGATAATCTGGCCGTTTAACTCGTCATTCTGCTCCTTCAGACTGCGGTTGTCCTGGAGAAGTTACGTCAAATGTAACGTATCATAAAAACTGTACAGGATTCTAAATTATTCTTCCATTTCAAATCCAGTCTGGCTAGAGGGGTAGAATGAGGACTGCTTAGAGCGTGTGTGCTACCTGTTTGAGTCGTTTGATCTCTTGCTCCAGCTCGGCTTCGCGGGTGCGGGTCTGATATTCCTGCAGCCCTGCACCGGGCGAGCGTCCCCTCTTTGCTTCCGCCTCCAACTTGTAGAGCTGTAGGTGCTCAAGCTGTTTACGCAAGTCTTCAATGAGCTGTGGTACAAACAAATCAAGACACATTAGTTAGTAGAGTTATTAGTAATCTTATAAAGTGAGGGGTATAGGGCAAAAATACTTGATTCTTTTAAGTAATGTCATAATTTAGACAGAAATATTCAAGTGACAGTGATGTTGTCCGATGCTGAACTGGAATATTTTGTATACAGAGTACTGTTTATTTTGTACATAGAGAAACCAGTCCCACCTCCTGAGTGCACTCCTTCTCCTTTTGGCTCTGGTGGCGCTCATGGCTCAGCTTGTCAGCCATCTTCTTGCGGGACTCTGTCTCCTCCTGCAGCCTGTCAGACATGACTTCTGTCTCATCCTGCAGCTTCCTCTTCTCCTAGAAAATTAAAGAAAACAAAAAAAAAGAAGTTGAGAGTGAAGAGGAGTATTGAGACAGGGAAGAAACTTCACCTATGAGAAAGATTGCGGAACGCGTTTGAGGAAGGCAAGACAAACCAGGTGGTATTATTGCTCTCACCTCCTCTAGTCTCTCAATGTTTGCTCTAAGACAAGGGACGCATGACCTCAGCTCACTGTTCTCCTCATCCAGCTGCTGCAGCCTGAAAGATAAACACAAATCCTTTAGCAGACGCATACGACAAATACCTACAGTGCAGCCACAAACTAACAGCATCTGCACTGTTTGCTGAGAATGACAATGCTATACCACAGAAAAACAGCTTACATCCAGTGACAGATTATAGCCAGAGGGTGGCAGTGTAGAGCCATGATTCCTCCAACAAACAACATGTGAAGCACTGGTGTCACAATACCCAAATGTGTTTTAAATATACCAAAACAACAGCCTACTGAAACAGTTTTTTTTTTGTCAATGTCCAGTTAAAAAACTAGTATCAAAAACTGCTAACTGGTTGATGAAAATGTGTTATCTTACTCATCAAAATAATAAACACAAGCATCAAATTGTATGTAATAAACCAGGTAGCATGTGCAAACCCTATACAGAATATAAAATCAGTGTACAGTATACAAATATACTGACATTTTTCCCACTGCCACAAAAAACATGCAAATATTATTCTGTATTTCTCATCTGCTCACCTGGCCTGCAGGTTTTCCAGCTCCAGCCCCCTCTCCCTCTCCAGCTTGACCAGAGCCTCCTTGTGACGACGAGTGTCTTGCTGCAGTAGCTCGTCAGCCTGGACTTCCTGCTCCTTCAGCTGCTCCTCCAAGGCATTGGCCCGGTGCACCAGCTGAAGGTTCTCCTGGCGCAGTCGCGTGTGCTGCTCCCCCGATGCCTCGGACTCCTTTTCCAGCTCTGCCACTCGGCGCTCAAGGAGGAGCACCTGGGAAAAGTAAACGTTTCGTGGTTAGCGAAACAAAAAATATTGATAGAGTAATCTAACTATCATGCATCAACAATAGTACTGATGTGTCTGCCCAACTGTGACACGAATTAATGTGTGTAACCAGAGGGATGTGAAAGCTTATCAGTTAACTTCCTTGACAGATGAGCTCTCACCTTGTCTGTGATGTCATTGTCAGCGAGCTCCAGGATGTCCCGCGTTAAGTCGCTCATGGTGTCCAGAGTCATCGAGCTGTTCTGCAGGAGATGCCTGCATGTGGGGAGGGAAAGTTTAAAACGACTGTGCCTCGAGCCAGTTTACATTTGATAAATTGCCATTTCCTTACGCCAAACATAAACTATCTATTACAATAACACGAGAAATATGAACCCTTCGGAGCCGCTATTGAGCTTACCTTGCCACTTTCTTGCTGGACAGTCTCTTGCCAGCGCTGGATGGGGAGATGGAACAACAGGAAAAATGGTCAGGAAGAGAAAGGGGATAGAGGAAAGAGACACTATCTCCTGCTATTCGTCCTATCCACCCCCCACCCCTCTCTCTGCTAGCAAAGGAGCCCCACAGACAAAAGGGCACGTCGAGGTGGTTCTTTACTAGTAAATCACTGGATTTTTTTTTGTTGAAACTAAAACTACAAGATATTCACACATCACAGCAATCTAACACAATCACAGCAGCGTTTATTAACAGTGTCTAACAAGTGCTGAAATAGGAACAGTTTTGCTAGACAACATTACAGAAACTTAAATTAAAGCCTGAAATAGAAGTTTTATAGATTTCTAAATTATTCTTAAATTCCTACTAGTGAATTAAAAAGTTATGAAATTCAGTTGTAGAATAGATTAAATAGGATTTCAGTATTACTAAGTTTCTGTAATAGAGCCACTGGTCAGTAATCCTGGATCAGCAAGTCTGTTCCGATAAAAGCAGGTTCTTTGTAAAGCTTCACTCCACTACCAGCAGCCATTCTGCAACAAATCAAATGAAGCATGAGACAATGGCATGACGAACCAAAAATACTGAAATGGACACCACTTACCTGTGATACCCGGGTTTGTTTCATGTATAATCAATCTATTAAGCTTATTTTTAAATGAGCAGAATGTTCATCATGTATGAGCGACAAATCATAATTTAGATACAGATTGCAACAATGGGAAGGAGCTGGCTACCACCATATTAAATAAGTGCGGCATAGCCACTGAAATGCCATGAGTGAGTTTTTCCATCACTAAATGCTAAATATTAACACAAAAGAGAATGCAGATGAAAAGAGATTGAGAACAGCGTGAGGTAAAATGGTCTTAAAAACAGACCCACAAAATATACCATAATGTCTGTGTGAAAGTACAATCTGTGACGTGACACACGCCATGTTGTTGCTAGTCCAGCACAGCATGCATACATTATGACAACATGCACCATACTGTATCTAATCAGCACTGCAAACACATTCACACAGCTTGTAATCGGAGTAGGTTGTGAATGACGTGTTACCTAGTCATCTCTAGGAAATTGAGGCGAGTCGAGAGGTCCTCGAGACGACTTATTTGTTTGTGACACTGGCTACAGAAAAAGTCCAGCGCCTCCTCCCTGAGGAAGCTCTGAAAGCAGTCAGGGAGAGGAGCAGGTGCACTGGAAAGAGGAAAAAGGGAGGAAGAGGAGGAGGAAGTGGTGAGTGACGGACAAGAAGGGGTGCACAGGTGGGACAGGACACCTCTGGGGGTGCAGGGAGGTGTTAGTGAAATCCACAAGAGAGTCTGAAAGAGTAAAGTGTGAGGGCCACAGTGGGAAGGAGATGTGACACAGACTGCAGTGTGGCTGTGATTGGTTTTCTGGATAGTGTAAGGAAACAAAACATTCTAGGAGAAAGAATGCGTCTTCAAAAGAGCTTTTTTTTTTCTTTCCCTGCTGCCACACATTCTCATTTATTCAACCTTGACCATGTGACAATTCAATTAAAAAAAAACTAACAAGCTCTCAAGCAAACAAATAAAAAGGTTGAGTATTTCATTGTTTGTCTGTACCCTCTCCTCACATCACCTCTACCAGCTGATTGTTCATTCAGGGAGCAAGTCAGGTCTGAATGATGCAACACCCTGGCACAGGTTCCTGTTTATGTAGGCAGAAACAAGGCATGGCAGACTTTGAGTGAGTGTCACTTGATGCTCATATGCACTGTTGTACCGAGCCATTTTCTTCTGACAGTGTGAGGGATGACTCTGTTAAATAATGCCTACACTTGATGTGCGTTTCTGTAGCACAGAGGCGACCCAACAGAGTGTATGTGCTGTCAAAGTGCTGTAATATGTAGATGGATAAATGCTGGGGGTGTGTGTAGGCGGCTCTGCTACATGCGCCAACAATGAGCACGATTGGCTCAAAACACAGTGACGCATTCACACCGAGTGGGTGAAGTTTGTGGGATGCAGTTATTTTTCCATGTATGATTTTTTTTTTTTTTTTTTAGCCCTAACCACCATGCAGATTTCTGTACAACTTGTACACGACGTAATCTTTCACATGCTGTATGTAATTTACAGATTGAATTTGAATCATTTATTATTTATGGCTCTATCATTTGAGGATGCCTAATTAACCTACATTATTTTATCCCTTTGTGTATCCTTTTCCATTTGGGTGTATTCTTTACCACTTTCTGTTACAATGAGAGCATCATATTATAGTCAAGTAGCTTTAGCAACTTCAAATGATAAAAAAGTAAGTACTTTTGTTATTGCTATTGTTGCCAACCCAGTTAAAGCAGCTTATTTCAATATAATAGGCTAAAAAAAACCTGGGCAGTTAGCTGTTAAGAGCTTCCTGGCAAGGCAAATCACGGAAATATCACCCAAGTGGGAATTACGCATTATCCGACTTTGGTTCTCTGATGAAAACAGAGGAGGGAGGAGGAAAGATATGACTGGGAAAAGGCTACAACAAGGACTTCAACACAAAAGCATGGTGCCATAGAGAGGAGTGTGTATGTGTATAAATGTGGCCGTTTTGGCGTTGTTAAAGTCAGCCTGTATCTGAACTACTGCAGCCCAGACGTAAACCTGTTGAGATACTGCTTAAGATGTCTAAAGTCAGTGCAACAAAACATCCACCTTCTGTCTGTTCCAGAAGGACTGGCAACATATGCCAACCTTAAGACTTAAACAGTGTGAGTATAAAACCTTTACTCAGAATACTCATGAAAGAGGGCACTGTTTTAGAACAGAATTTTGTCCAATATTCACATTTTTATAATAACTTGAGACTAGGACTACTGGAATGAACTTTGCATACACTTAATTTATCTTGCCCTTCACCAGGAAAGGAGACAGATAAGGGTGGGAAGGACAAAAGACGTCTCCAGAAAGCTCTTATCAACATTTGACCTCGGTGTCTTTGTTCAAAGAGAAACATTTTCTCTGAAGAACACCAACAGAAGCATTTAAACCTGAGAATATAACAGTGTCACACATCTTATCAGGAAGGCTTGATTTAAAAAAAAAAAGAAAGTTGACAGCCTGGTGAAAACAATATTAATATTCACACCAGTTAGATCATCTCCAGGCTGTTTACACTGCAGAGTGACTTTGTCCTCATACAAAGGTTTCAGATGTGTAGGGAGGACAAGCTCGTACCTGGGAGAGAGCAGTGAGGAGCCATTGACCTGCTCAGAGGGCTGCACGAGAGGGGAGCCGCACTGCCCCTCCGTCCCCTCCACGCGGCTCTCCAGTAGCAACTCTGAGGTATTACTTTCGCCAAAGTCCTCGAAGTGCTCCTCCTCTCCACCGATGACGGTCACCAAGGAGTGGTTGTGGTGCTCAGAGTTCAGGGAAAACCTGCGGGACGCACAACAATGGATTACTGTGTTAGTGTGTGCATGCTCACTTGTGTATACAACAACAGTGTAGTTAACTTTAGCCAGAAAACCAAAAATAAAGGATGTGCCAGGTTTAGGTGTGTTAAAAATGGACGTCCGACTGGGTATAAACAGCCTTGTAACCATGCATTTCATGAAACCCCATTCTCAGCCAAACCAAACAGAGCCCATCTTTTTACTCCATTCAAAGAAAATAGACAGGCTACAGTGCTTGAGCAACAGTGTCTGGGTAACAAGTTCTAAAATGGCTGGCTAAGGGTTGGTGTGTTGGACCCAGACGCCTGGCTTGAGCGTACAGTAAATCCCAAACAAGTACAATTAATCTTCCCCCAGGAAGAGCGGCAATCTGGACAAGTTCGACAATCACTTGTCTTCAAAGGTAATCTCTTAATTCACATTAATCCCAAAGGCTGCTTTGGCTGAAACAAAATGTCTTGTGCCTTGCTGGTGATGCAAAACCATGATTGAAACACTTGAGACATGTGAGAGGAATCTTCATGTAGTTTGATTTGGGTTAAGTTTAAGAGATGTCCATAAGTGCGCTGACGGAAAGGGCTGTGACTCTGGCTTTCAGAATTGGATGGTTATCTTGCACAACTGAACAGAAGGCTACTTGGTGGATCTGTAAGGCTTTTCTGGAAATCTGAGAGAAGAATTTTAGTAAATAATCTGACGTTCGCTTACCAGGAAAACTGGCTTTTCCTGTTGTCCAACAGGATACGTTAGATGTTTTAAGCACACACAGGACGAGGATGTCCAAATCAGCAGAAAAGTTTGCTTTCTCAGCACACAGTGACAAAGCCCATTTTGCTTGTTTACAAAACCTTTGTCCAACTCAAGCTAAAATACCACCTTCATTTACAAATAAGTCATATACTGGCAGTCAGACTCTGCCAATGACACTCTTCAGACTCTTTTAACCAGACAACAATGCAGTTCACCCTGAGCAAACATTGGACTCAACTGGTTAAATAGTTAAACAACCACAGCCACTTACCCTTTACTCATGCTCTTACTACTTGGCCCCATATTTAGGTCCCTCACACAGAGGGACGGCGAAGAGAGAGAACGCATCTTTAAACGCCCTCCACTGCCCTGGCGTGTAAGCCGCGGAGCAACTGGAGTTAAAACCCCAGACAACCAGAGTGGAATCCTGAATATTCACAGGTTACACCAATTTAAAACAAAAAGCACAACTCTCCAGTTTGGAGAAAACTAACCGGTCTGCCTCTGAAAACGGCTAAGCCTTTGGTCCTAATGAGCTGCCAATCTACAGCGCCACATGACTGATGTTGCATCTCCTGTGCCACCAGACAGACAGACTTGAGGCTGTACCAGAAAGGGTTGACTGTGAGTGGGTTAATCAGATTGGACAGACAGTCCTGCTGACCGTCCAAGGGCCAAATGTGTGTGGGGACACGGGTAGGATAGAGGAGGGTGGGGGAGGCTAATCCTGTTAGATTCTTAATCCCCAGTCTAGCGCATACACTCCTACCCTGAATATGGCTTGAAGTAGCTGGGCTAACTAGGCTGCATGACAAACTCTCAGTTTACTTACTGACCTTTATGTAGCATTCACTTAGTCAATGTTGAATCACTTGAAGTAGCTAAATGTTTTTGACTTGGTAAACTCTTTAAATGTTTGGGAGCCCCCGTTCACAGACTGTCAAGATATTCACTGGCATGATAAAGTCAATGACAAATAAGGAGAGTTTCTTCGTTTTGGGAAGCGAGATAGCCGACGGCCTGCTAAAATGATGGAATACATAAGGTCATGGAGTCAAACGGTATGGGTGTTAGGTTCCCGTCAGCAGTGGCCTTAGCAGGGCGATTGTATGACTAAGTGGAGGGGATTCAGATTAGCTCATGCCAAAGAAAGAAAAAAAGGGAAAACAACAAAAAAGGAGCTAACTCAACACTTCCTGGAATTCAAGGCTCAATCATGGAATAGGAAGTCCAAACACATCCATGTCAGGCAGACCACTCCAATCCGTCATCAAGCCGGACAGACAGGTCACACAGTCAGCAGATGAGGTTTCAGTTCTCTGCACTTCCTCCCTAGTGTTTGCCCTAAATACTATATCAACAAGAACATTGTCTTATATGGTGGAATTAAATTCCAGCCTCTAGAGCTTTTTTTTTTTTTTTTAAACCAAAGAGACAATACCAAAGCAATATTTTCTCAATACTAAAGCCATAATAATACCAACGCTTTGTGATTTAGACAAATCCATTTTAAAAAGACTGTGCCCATTCGAATAAGATCTGGAAAGCAGCAGTAGTCAGGAAAGAGGACAAACCTTTATGACTTTATGACTCTCTGACTGCTTTAAACAGGCAGTGCTGATGTTGCAGGGGGGTGGGATAACTGGGCACTTTCCACTGCACAAAGCTAATTATATTAACCTCCACTTGACATTGTAAGAAAAAAATGAAAGACTGTTAACCTCAGTGCAAAGCAAACGTTAGCCAAATAACATAAGACAAATAAACAACGCTGTGACAAATCCATGAATAGAACTCAAGTGGTTCCTGAAAAACGCATAAGGCTGCAGGAAAGATATCATTAAAAATAATATTTCACCTACTGTAATTCCCCAGAAACTGAGAATTAAGAGAAGATGAACAGATCTCAGTCTCTTTTCAGCCGACACAAATGATTATCCGCTCAGACACACCAACTTGGGTAAAGAATGGTGGAAGGGCTTTCTGTGTTCAAGGTCTCCGACGCTCACACTGCGCACATTTCAAGTTATCTCTGAATGAGTTTTCCTGTTCAGCCATACAGAAAACATTCCGCTCTGACTATCTAAAGTGTTGCCTCAAGCTGCCTGTGATTGTGCATGAGTACACGAGGAGCTGTTTAATTAACAATTAAGGACAAAAATGAGAAAACCAAACAGAGAAAAACACTAAGATGCTGCATGTTTGACTGACTTTCTTCCCACTGGCGTTTAAGGTCAATCGAGTGGTGGCTTTCTACTGTCTGTCTGGTGACTCAAATAGAGCCCCAAGTGATCCAGCGGTGAGAATATAAGACTCGTAACCCATGTGATCTATGTTAAAGGTCCAAATCTTAGCTGGAAATCTGACACACATTTACGGTAAATTGTGTAGCCAGCAGCGATTACAAACAGCATTATGACGTTGATCTGGTTCTCATGACAAGGGGATTACAACTGACGATGTATTACAGAAGTCCTTCAGGGTCACAACCAGCCTTCTCAGTGTCAAACACGAGGCACAGGACGCATATATATCCAGGAAATGAGCACAATGGCCAAAGTTGACGTTCTGTGTATGCCTGAAGGTGAAATTTAAACCGACCTATTTCTGCCATCTTCGGGGTCGTGCAGCGTGGCCTCGATGCCGCTGTCCGTCTCCACCTCCTCATGCATCTCGGGGGGTACGAGGGCCCCCGTGTCCTCATCAGTGAAGGTCTCACACTCACTGTAAGTGCTCTCGGAGCCCAGGTAGGCACTGTCCGTCACCTCATTTTGCTGCAATAACAGACACAGAACAAGAATAAACACATTGTAGTATGTCCATCAAGCAATAAACAGACCGATTCATATTGATTTGACTATCCAAGATAACAACAGGACATGAACATGGATGGAACTTAATATGCAGTATACAAACTAGGGTGGAGGCTATATATACTGCTGTATAATCTGATTAAAATAATAACATGGCTCTAGAAAACTTCACTAAATGCTCCACTAAAGCAATACTGCACAGCCAAAGAAGTAATGCTCAGCAAACAAATGTATTGTGCTTTTGTTGTATATTTTCTAACAATGTCTACAGATTTTTTATGAATGCCATGAGGTGTATTTAGAATCAGGATTATGGGTGTTTATGAGAAGCAAAAGACAGAAAACACACCTATAGGTTGATCGAATGGTGTACAAATGGCTGTTTACAAAAAAACAGCGACCAAACAAATCACAGAGCATAAACAGACTTCAGAGACAGTCTGCTGCGACTCAGATGGCTGTACCAAGCAAAAACCTGCTGCATCAACACCTCTAAGCAACCAGTTCAAACAAAGTGAGCAAGCTTTAGGCTTGCCAAGCAACAAACACCAAATGTCCAACACAAAACCCATAAACAACAACAACAACAACAACAACAGAAACACATCAGAAGCTATTTGCAACTAGAGACTCATTATCAGCTATCAAAACTGTGAGGCAATAATAAAGGCAAGACAGGTGAGTCACGTTGGAAAACATAACGTACCATAAATGAAGTGTCCGGAGTAGCAGGGCCCAGAGGGCTATCCACCATGCCCAGAACCATTCTCCCTGCCCGGTTTCACTAACGGGAAAGCTGGCCTGCCATGAGCACCTCTCAATAACTCTCCTACTAATGCTTCCTCACCTTCACTCAGAGAGTGAGAGAGTACGTTTGAAGAAGAAAATAGGAAAAGGAAAATACTGTAACACCTCGTTCAGCTCCACTGGGTGGTCAGAGGGGAGGAGACAGGGACAAAGTCCAAAGAGTAGCAGAAGTCAGCTGTAATGCTCAATCAACCAGCTTTCTGCCCAACAGGCCAGAGTTAAAACACCACACCATCAGCTGAACAACTGTTTAATCTTTCCTGGCTCCTGGGAGCTTCACTTCCTGCCCCAGTGTGACAGTATAAATCATTAAGCCATGTTCTAAGTGTTACAGACTGCACAGTTAATGAGGCCTATACATCACAACATTTTGTCATAACTGTCTGTGTGCCAATAGAAAACTGCCATGCTATTAAGGTTAAGGCTCTGAAAGGAAGAGTAGGTGTATAATCTGTAAGGTTTTGGTAAAACAATAACAAAAACACTGGTTATGAAAAGTGTGAAGGCCATATTTACCGTTGTTATGTGCTTCTATTTCAGAATTAAAGTGTGAGACGGAAATGTGAAAGTTAGCAACGGCAGAAAATATTTATTAAAGGAAAAAACTGGGTGGATGGGGTGTTGCTTTTCTCTTATGCCAGGCCTCAGCTGAACAGCCTCACCTTGACTGTTTTGAAAGCAAACAGGGCTAGAACAGCACCACCATTGAGAGAGAGGAACCCTTTTCTGCCAGAAACCCGAGGGAAAAACAAGGACCATGGACACAGGTGTGGCGTCTACTTCAAACATAAACACAAACTTCCCCAAAACTCTGCTTACGGGTTCCAGTAAACTGCAGACACTTTATAAATCACTGGACCTTACATATTGTTAGTTCAGATTCACATCTACTTTCCTATGTAGAACACATCATTTCTTGTTTGTGGATATTTTCAGTTCCATTTGTAATATTTGAATAAAATGTCTCATAAGTAACTGCATTCAATCTTAGCAGCAACACAATCGGGTAAATCAAGCCTTTGAGCAGTATCAGATCTATCGATCTATCGATCTACCTACCTATCTACTCATTTGGACACATGCATTTTAATATATGGATGATTTAGCATCTACTGTAACTATTTTCTATGTCAAACAACTTGGAGACTGTGCAATACATTAGGTACTGTGTAAGGCATTGTGTTCGTGTCATTTGTATTAGATTCCCTAGTCTCAACAAAAATCCACAGGAATGCAATTTCTTTTTAAACTTCAGATGAATGCCGGATTTTATCATATAATCATCAACTCATGAGGCCTGTGAACTGGATTAAAGTGGAGGGAATCCATTTGCACTCCTGACAGTGGTATATGGGCCTGCACTTATAAACCATACCAAGAGAGGGTGCTGATACTGTCCAGCACAGCCACTAACACAACAGTCTAGTCTTGCAGGCCTGTGAAGTGCACACAATAGCAGAAACATAGACATTTTTGCGGAGGCCAGCAACAATGATGGTTAAATATACAAGTTTCCGTGCACAAGAGGAGACAGGAATTCCAGATATGCTAACCACAACTGTAAAAACACACATGTAAAAACTCAACGCACATTCCACCTAATTCAATATTTGTCAAAGAATACTCGAAAGCCTAGCATGCCAGATGCTGTTTAGTGTCAGCCAAACCAGGGGGTTCAGTCTGTGGAACATTCACAGAGTAGTAATGATAGCTCTGCAAGCCACTCAGTGAATTACAGTGGGAAGAGTGAGAGTGCATAGGGAGTTCAGCCTGTGACCTCCACACACTGTGCTGCCGTGTGCACCAGTGGGAACTGAAGACACAACAACTGGAACACATACACAACTAGAGAAAGGCTAAGTCTCTTGTGTGGCGCCTCACCTCATCGTACTCCTCTGGACAGCCCACAGCTCCATCCCCTGGACTGTAGTTTACACTGTAGAGCTGTGGCTCTGGGCCTGCAGATATGAGAGGAAAAAGAGGGTTTAATGTGTGACAAAATAAACATATAAAGTCAAACCGCAATGGAGGCTCAACAAACACAAGACTGGTGTGTGTGTATAGTACCAACGTCCATGTGCAAACAAACAGCCATTATTAAGGAACAAGGTGTCACAGCAGCAGATTTCAGTAAATGTTTGATATCATGGTAGTGCTAATATCCGTTGTTACTGTGATTACTTTTCTGCTTTTGATAAAACATGTGACTAAAAATCTAAACCCAAAACATTTTCATGCTTGACAATTCTGATGCATTTTCATTATTAAACATGTATTTGCACTGTGAATAAATTTCAGGAGCCCATAAGCATTTTTTTCTGAAATACACAAAATGATAATGAAACAATAGCAAATATTAGTTTATTCATGTCCCACTTTCTGGTCAGCAGTATTAAAATGTCATTTAAATGTCTGCCAAACTCATAAAGAAGATCTATGATGTAGATAACATTGTTTTTGTGTAATTATTATTTCTAATTCAAAATACAATGACCTTATTCCATGAAACAGGATAACTTTATCGTCAATAGTAAAAACTAAATCTAAATGTCAATTTGATTATTTCATCTAAAATTCAAACATGATCCATGTAAGGGAAAGTCAGGGATTTTATGAATTGTATTATGTAAAAGACATAAAATATATGCTGCCATGTTTTTTTCCATTTGTCTTTATTTTGCAAAAGAACAAAGGTGACTCCAGTCTTAACAGATTAATGGTAAATATATTTGTTTGACAAACTGATATTTCTGCCTATAATGTGTTTGCTCAAGCACGCAATCAGCACATTTTAGAGCTTGGTACTAGCTGCCCTACTTCGGCATATTTACAGTCAGCAATTTAAGCGTGATGTGACAGCAAACATTATGTAACTTTTACACTCGCATTTCAAGGGCTATAAAATGTCATGTAATAAGGGTATGGACAAGAAAAATAAAAGGACAAGAAGCAACCCATATCCAATTCAAATGTGCCAATACAGGGCTCTGCTGAAAGCACCTGCAGAGCAATGTAACCTGAGACGGACCATCAGTCCCATCAGCCACTGCGGCTCCTGTATCTAGTAAACAGAGCTGTGAATAGCACCCCACTGAGATAATAGAACACAAACAGTGTTCTCCCAAAGCTGCCAGTACACCCAAGGGGTTTTGTGCCCCCTGGTCTTATGTAAGCTGTACACATAGCGGGCCATGTAAGTGAAATGAGTCTGCACCGAATGGCGCCGTGCAGGAGAAGCTGTCTTCTGTTGGAGCAACACACCTGCAGTCTCTTGGCGTGATGTCAAAATATCAAGAGGACACAGATATTCAACTACAGGGGACATGGCATTTCCATAGCCTGCAGGCCTGTCTTTATTAAAAGGTACCCCTGCCAGTAAGTGGTGCAGAAATGAAATAAAAGAAGAAGGTGGAGTGCAATGAAGTTTATACTGAAACCAGACAGCAGCTGGAAAAGCAGGTTTTCCCCTCTGATTACAGCAGATGTGGCGGCAACAGTGGTAGAGAACACGATATGGATCCAGGGGATCTAAAACTCAATAGTTTCGCCGCAAAAGGTCTGAAAAACTGTACTCTGCTTTTACAACCACAGTGGAATTCTGTCAGCAGTGTGTGAGTGACCTGGGAAATCATAGGAGAGGTCTGATCTTCACACTCTAATGGGAAACTGTCTGCTGCCAGCTGGAAATATACGATTCATTCTCCAGATTGATGATTACACAGAAAATATTGAAGATAGGCAGAAAAGACAGGACAGTGAGTAAAAACAACATGGCACAATTATCCTTGGCTGAAATTGGACCCATCAAGGATACAAGGATATGTGCGTTAGCAAAACAAGCTACCAAAACAAACCAAAAGAACTTTGTTTAAACGTCAAGACTACAATTACATCAATGTCCATCTATTAAACCAAGCACAGCTTATTTGGACAAATCTGGCACTATATGTTAACAGAGGCATATCTGTGTTTTTTTCTGATCTGATTTTACAACACAGCGTCGCAAGTAGTGACACGAAGGAGAAACAGAGAGGACGGGACAGAGAAAGAGGGCAGTAAATAATTTAGGTGAATAGGACTCTCTGCCCAAACCCCATCTCTCTGCCACTCCCACCCTGAAACCTTGCCAGTAAGCCCATGTGTCTGTGCATCTCATGCTTTCCAGTGCATGACTTATTAATGGTGTGAGTAACCAGAGCTGTGCAACCCAGAAAGCCTCGGGAAAGAGTACTACCAATCAATAGGCTGCGATGACGTCACCACAACCTGTACAGTATGTCAACACAACCGGCGTGTACTGTAAAATGCAGAAGAGCTGAAACTCTTTGGAATGATGTCACTTTGGGGTGCCTAAATCAATCAAATTTAAAGTCAATTCAAGATTTAGATTAGATTAGATTTACTGCTGAGGTGAAGTCTGGGAAACCCGATGACACAGCTGTCGAGACAGGCTTACAAACTGTTCCTATTTTGGGAGGGAAATACAGTATGTGAGTCCTGACAACTTACAGCAGTTTTTGAAAGTGTATAGAGTGGAACATGAGGCAGCAAAATGGTTAAAGAAAGAATAGCAGCGTTTTGAGTCCAGTTACAAAGAATTTAGGTCAGTCTTCTACCTTTCCTTTCAAAAACCCTCACCTCAGCTGAGCGATGGATGCAAACATACTGTGTTGACAACAATATTTGCCGCCACGGGGAATGCAGGGAGCCAGATGCTGGAGGCTAAATGTAGGTGCAAGAATTTGCTGCTGAGGCCTTTTTTCTATTTCATTTCTTACAGCAGAATTAGGCAGGTTAGCCAAAATAAAAGAGAATAGATAATATGTTCTTACACATAGAGTACTGAAGACAGATAGCATAACATCAGTACATAAAACACATGATAAAAACGAGACATTTTTATGTCAGAGTATTTTTGGTAGGTATGTTTCACACATCATTAAATGTAGAACCTCCAGAGTCTTAGACAACAGGCCAATTGAGTCCACAAAAAGGGGACACTAGGTAAAGAGTTTAAAGGGAAAACAATTCAAGACTAGGTTTACTTACTACATGACATAGGAGGCCTTGAATAGAAGATTAAAACCACTGTGGACACTCACACAGGTCGCTAAACAAGTGTGTGTAATGACTCACCTCCATTGCTAATCGCAGAGATTCCACGGTGAAAGTCTTCAAAGCTGATCACTCCCAGGCCACTGGGATCCAAAAACTTGGTCAGATCCTTCACCTGAAAGATAAAAGCGACGCGACATTCTTAACCAATTTCATCACAGCAACAGAAGAAAACCACTCTCCCAGAACCCTGTCGTTTGCTCTGTCTCGATGCTTCAAGATGATGTCATAAATGATGTAAGGGGAACTTTTCCGCACAAGGGGGCAATTGACCTGGCTTCAATAGAAAAGCACATGGAGAAGAACAAGCCAGTACTTCAAGCTACATAAACCTACGAAGGAACTCTCTCTCAAGGTCATTTCTCTGACATGTCAGTTTTACTGCAGGAGTGCAGGAACACCACTTCCTCCAGAAGAAAATCAGATTCTGCAGACAGGGCAATAGTAACTTTACAAGGATTTTAATGCGTGCAAAGGGTACAGCCTTCATGTTCTTAGCATATGACAAGAAAAAGAGGGGGGAAAAAGATGAAATAAATGTGTTACTGAAAGCTTAACAGTTGCAGAAAGTGTTTTCGCCACACACACACTTTTTTAAGTAATAAATAAAAGATGGGTTGTAGAGTCTTTACATACATCAAAAGGAATCTAAAGATACGAAGACGGTTTACCCAATGACAGAAAATGCTTATTCTAAATGCACATTTATTAAAAGGCATGCAAGTTAAGCAATATGCTGTAGCGTTTTGTGCACAAGAACATTGCTAAACTCAACTGTTAAACGGGTTATGTAAGTGCACCTACATACTGTATATTCTTACAGTCAGTAACCTGGCAACAGAAGGATGTGGCTTCAGTAACTACAGGACCTCAGAGCATTAAAAAACACAACAGTGCACCTTGGATCAACAACTTTTTTTTTTTTTTTTTAAAGACAGAGACAGAGAGCCTTCACCTGTAAATTCCTTGGCATATTGCCCTGATTAATGTTTACTATCTAGTTATCTGGCTTTTAACGACCTGGGAACTAGATATGTGCAGAATTATTGGTGGCGCCAAGCAATCAAAATCTATTTACATAAATAATAGACTAAGTCAAATGTCGTCCATCACAAAATTGCACTAACCCACTATTACAGTATAATTTCAGGCGTGTATCACTGACAAAATTAGTTGGGAGGGAGCCTGAGAGTATGTCGGTTGAGGTTTCTGTGGTTTCGGCTCGCTTCTTCCTTGAGAAAGTAAGCGCACAATGTGAACATGGTCATTTTACCGAGACTTTCCTTCTGTGTGTGTGTCCTCTTTCTTCTATACTTTTTATATCGGTTACACATAAAAACAAGTTGATCTGCTTAGCAACTCTGAGCTGCAACTCAGGAGGCTGAGAAGGCTGAAACTCCTAATAAACTGACTCCAGCAACCCTCATGGCTTATGATCTGGGTTTGGTGAATTAAACCCAGCTGTACTTAGTGAGTGGAGGGGAGTGGCTGATCTCACTCAATGGTGGTTAACACTGCAATGTTAAGTTTAGCGTGTGGGATCAAGGCTCATCCAGCTTTCATTTCTGCTACGCTAAAACCTTTCCATACAGTAGGTTTGCCATGTACTGTAGGCTGAAGAGGGGTTGGTGAAGAAACAGGCTATTTCATGGATTGAACTTGTGAAAAGAAATTTGTGGTTGAGGTCAGTGGTAGGTGTATGAATACAGCTTTTAGCTTTCCGTTTCACAATGGAGCATCACAGTTCACATGTTCCACGCAGCTATTCAGAAACACCTCTGCTAGGCGAGGTGAGAAAACCTAGGTGTGATTGGGGAATTAACTGAGCGTCTGTGGTCCTGATGACATTTTTACATAACTGTAATAAGCAGTGAATTCAAATTAGTTATTGAGTCTGCAGTGAGAGATGTATGAACCACTGTGACAGCCAAAGCAACCAGAGCAATGTAAACCTACTATACTTTGGAAGCTATCCATGGCCTACATCAGAGTTGCGAAGCCTGTACAGCAGTGCCAGGCCCCTCAGGTCTTATGAGCAGAGCCTGCTGGCTATTCCTAGGTCTAACCTAAAAACTAAAAGGTGAATATGATTTCAGTTCAGTTGTATTTTGGCCCCGATACCATGGAAAAGTCCCTCTGTCCCCATTTTAACTTAATTAAGTTAATTTATTGTTGGAGGAATGACTTTTGTCACAGATTATCAATTTATGTACTTATTCTTGTTGGACTGTCGCTGCCTCTATTTCTATTTACAGAGTTTACTGGCATTAAGTTTAGGCAAGCTAAAATGCTCTTTAAAAGTACTATTTAAAACTATTTTATAATGGTCCTTCTCTATAATTTCATGCTTAATTTAAATTATTAGCCTTCAGAGTATTATCATTAATACTGTATTATGTATTGCATTATGTAACAATTTGCATCGTTACACCTAACAAGCACAGCCCTGAGAGACAGTGGTAAGGCAGATAACGACTAAACTCAAAGGCAACTTTGTCAGCTCCAGGGAAGCAGTGAAGGCACTGTGGTTTTTCTGTTTCCTCTATTTGTGTCTAATCAGTGCCGGGGCACGCCTGACCGCCTCCACACAGACCGCTGTTGTGCATAACCCCATGGAGAAGAATACCCTTTGGTGCAAGTCTTTCCTGGAGGGGATTTCACAATAGTTCCTAAACAAAACTCTGATAACCATGATCATACGCCTAGTGGGTTGGCAAAAGATGATGAAAAAGGGCAGAATAATCTTTGGATGTAAAACATTAACACACACACACCTCAAAAAAAGTGAACTCAAGAGAGGGGACGTTTCAGGCCATGGGACATTCCAATGTGGATTAGAGGGGCAGTACATAAAAGCAGCGGGTGAGGGGAGAGCGGCTGGCCAAAGTAGGTTTGGGAGTGTCGACTGACAAGAGAGACACGACCACAATGCAGTTCAGTATGGCTTTTGTGCAGAATTAGGGTCAAAACCAGTGAGTGAAACCAGTGAGTGGCGGTAAGAAAGCTTTTTTGAACTGATTTGCCAGATATGGCACATGCCTGCAGGACATTTATTTTTTTTTTTGGTGTTCATTAAAAGGTAGAGTAGCAGCAGCAGGTCAACATCAACTTTTAATTGTGTTCCTAACACAGTCAAGAAAGGGAGATGGTTTCATGACACTGACCTGACATCTGTAAATCAACCTTCTCACAGAAAGTCTATCTCCTACCTCGAAATGGTTCTTCTGAAAAAAAATGTCACACCCAGAAAAGTGGTGGAGACAGTGCTTGTAAATTAAAATAATGAAAGAGCGAATGGCGGGTCTTTATAGGGAACATGACATCTATGATTTAACTCAAATGGGCAGGCATTTCTCTTGAAATACATTTTAAACACACAATATTTTGACTAAGATTACACATTATACGTGATGCTTTTATTCAAACCACACACAATGTAGTGTGTGAGTATGTACAATATCACTATCACATCCTGGAATAATTCTGAAGAAAACATTTGCATGCTTAGCATACAAGCGTCAGCTGAACATGTATGCAAATACCTCATAAATACCTTCCTGCTGTCTCTTTACAGGTTGGGATATTTGCAAAGTGTTACAGGATAATACACAAGTAAGGCCTGATGCTGGCCTTTAACTGAACTATGATATACAAATACAAAATCCTACCAAATAATTAAGCTTGTAGACACAAATAAAAAGCATTTTGTTAGGAATGATATTTATTACTGTCCTTGTGAATTAGTACAATCTATTGCTCTGTGGTTTTCTCCACCACACTGCTAAAATGTGTCACCCCCATGGTCCACAGTAAAATTTCACTAATCTGAGTCGCTCAGGCGTGGCGGTTATTTAAACCACTTTTATCTCCAGATGACTGAAATACAAGGACATATCAGGGCAAAGCTTATTCAAATATGAAAAGCACACATCTATGCCAAACTGATATGAAAAGAGTGAACCATTTGCTACCTCAGTAAAGACACAATCAGCAGCCTGAACTCAGACAGCTTGCATTTAGGCCTTGTTCGATCAGCCCTGACTTTCCCACAGACGCTTAAGTTTAGCTAATGATTTCCAAATCCTTCGAAAGGTTACAAGCATTATATAACATTCCACAAATTCTGAAGATAAGTCTGTCTGCTGCCCGCTTACTTATTGTAAATGTGAAAGGCAAACACTCCAAAACCTCTGTTTCTCTCTCTCTCTCTCTCTGATCACGAAATGACCGAAATCTGAGAGGAGTTTCCTGTGAGGGCACAAATTAGCTCCTGCCTCTCTTGGAAACCAGATATCCAATAACTAAACACAAAGAAAGACGCAGTAAGTAATCAATCTGCACAATCTGAGTAGCAGTCCAAGGGAAACATTTAAGAAACAAAGATCCAAAGGAAACTGCTCATACTTGAGAAGTGTAGCAGGAGAACTCCACCTGAAACCAAACAGTAAGGACTCCAAGCGCCATGTAAATGTATCACCTTTAGCACAGCCTAGCAAAACAACAGGTGGAATTGATTTACATTAGACTACCATGACAAAAGCTCGGCCCCTACGTCCCTAAAAACAAGGTCATGGGCAGTGAGTGGATGGCACCCAAAACCGCGGAGCCCCTCTGACTCTGGAAAATACATTTTACTCTTAATCCTTCCCAATTCCCTGCCTGGGGAGCGACAGATACCTACAGCTAGACACAGGACAGATCGGGGGCAACAGAGGCGCTTTGAACTGGGAGAGAGGGGATTAAAAAGCATTACTGAGCCAGCGTCACACTCTGCTACTCCACTGTGAGTGGAGTAACAGCAAGTACCCGTTCTCACCCAAAGGCCTTGTTCAAAGTTCATCAAAACTGGTTTAAAAGAAGACAGTTAACATACTGTATCCTAAATTATGTTGCCTGAATGAGCTCCCAGGTTGTTCTTATTGCTTCTTGAATAAACAGAGACCAATAAATGATAAAGATACCAAATACATGCTCGTCAAGGCACACTTGCTTGTTTAACTGTTACGAGTTAGGTTACGTCATGGTTTGCATCCATGCTTTTACTGTTATTTACAAATGGTGTGATCACTTGCTGAAGCTCCGACTGAATCTTGTCTACACTCAGACGGGCATACAGACAAGCACGTCTGACAGGAAAAGAAACTGATGTCATTTTTACTCTGGAGCGCGTGACATCTGTGTCAAACTGTGAATTTAACTTTTCCGCTGAAGACCAGACCAACGCCTAGACCTACCATGTTCAAAGGAAGCTAGGTGATAGAATTCAGTCAATAACTTCACACCGGGTAAAAAGCAATGATACATTCGAATGAACTCAAGTGAAGCAAACTCTTCCCTTTTACTACTACATTTACAGAAATGCTGATTCACTAAGTAAGACAATCGGAATTTAATCAATTTAATTCATCAAATGATCATTCTGATTCATTTTTGGTTGAAATTGTTCCTTGTCTTTTGAATCATTTCAGAAAATGTGGAAAATTCCACATGCAACAAATGGATGAGGGCCCTGGGTGGAGTGAGACACATCAGTCATTTCACCAGAGATTATCCCTGAACCCACAGGATATGCAAATGTGAAGATGGGTGTTGTGTCAATTGACATATGGAGGAGTGCCAGGCCTGACACAATTCATTACAGCCAATATGCTTGACGAGACTTATCAGGATGTTAACCCAAATCCTGGCTCTTGTACACTCACCAAATATAGATAGACAAACTAATCCAGGCATGGTTTTAATAATATGCTGCGGTATTAGCCAAATCTATTACACCAAATGTTGAGAGCTGCAAAAGAACTCATGCAGGGGTCACGTTACTACCGCTTCATCATTATGTCAGGGCAACATGGACCTAATGCAATTCATTAAAACATCTGAACTCATAATCAGGACCCGGTTTAAGAAACAACTTGAGGATTTATATAAATTGTACCAATAGTACATTAAGTGTCTAAATTAAAATTCCATTCACAAAGAGACCCATCAGTGAAAATGTCTGTGAAACATCTAACAATAGTGAGTTTAAAATGGATCTAGACATTAAACAACTTGAAATACTGGTAGCAAAGTGATATAAGCCAGCTGGATTTCATTTGATTGCATTACGCTTGCTTTTTGCAGGAAGCTCTCTCTGAGGTTCAGCAGAAAAATCAATAATAAATCATTTACGTATATGGAGCTTTATATGGTTTTACACAGAAGTTCACTCAGCATGCATTACCCAGTGGCTGCAAGCACAAAACAAGGCAATCAACAGAAGGCGGCTCACCTGATCGGCCCCGTAGGCAGCAGCAAACTCCATAAACTCCTCAATACGAACGAAGCCATCTCCATCTTGGTCTAAAGCATCGAACACAGCTTTTAGTGGGGAGACATCTTCCTCCCTCGTATTCTCAGCTGAGACCATTGGCAGTGAGTCATCTACCACCATCTTAGAGAGGGAAATTGTCTCCACAGCTTGCTCACTAGTCCACCCAGCCTCAGGAGAAGAAGTGTGTAAGTCCTGAACTGAAAACTCAAAAGAAGCCACTTCATGACAATCTGATCCTTCTAGCTGGTCAGCGTCTGTCAACCTCTCCTCTTCCCTCTGTTCAGTTGTCGGACCGGGTACGCTTCCATCCTGTACGCTCTCCTGTGTTTTCAAGTCCCAAGTGTCCTCGCCGTGGACCTCGTCCACAGTCAAGCACAGATCCAAAGCCATTGCCTCATTCCCCTGAGTTTTGGCTTCAGAACAAATCTCGTCTTCCATCAAATCCTTAGACTCATTTTCCACAGAGTAACTCTCACTGGTGAAATCACCCTGGATGAAGGCATCTTCAGCCCGAGGCACCGTCAGTGATGCAGATTCAGCTGACAAACCGGAAGCAAATGACTCATTCTCACCCTGTTGATCTGAAGTCAGATTTGTAATTACAGTAGCTCCTGCATGTTCCACCTCCGACTCCTCTGTTAATAAATCTAACGGTGCACCAGTGCAGATAACAGAAGGGGGACTAGCTGGGCACAGGCTCAGACTGCTATCACAATCTGGAACCTCTAAATCCAACAAAGGCACGGATCCTTCGAAACCCTCCAGTGGCGCGCTGATGTGGTTATGGGGGAGGCAGTTCTCAGGTAAACCTCGCAGGGCAGTGCTACAGGATACAGGCAGGTCAGTCACTTGATCAGGGAATAAACCTTTATCTCTGGTTTCAGGTGACAAAGTCTCCCTGCTCGGTGAGGGAGGGAGACCTGCCTGCTCCTCTTGTGACAAGTCTACCAGCTCCTCACTGACACCCTGTGGGTTTAACTCACCTGAGGACTCTGGGGGGAGAAAAGGGAGTTCATTTGTGAGGAGATCTACCAACAAAAACGGATCCCCCGTGTTGGTCTCGGAAATGTTCGATGGAGAAGCCGGTACACTGAGGCTTATTAGCTCAGCCTGACTACTGAGGGCATCTGAGCTCTCAAGATGGTCTTCCTGTGTTGGACTCAGTTCTTCACAGGCAGAGTTTTTCCCAACCACATCAGCGAGTTTGGGGGAAAATAGCCATGACAATGTGCAGTCACTTATTTCGTCGGGTCCCTCAGTTTTTTCTGTGAGGGACAATTCCTCTATGTGAGTACTATGGAGAGAAGCGAGGGAAATAGTGGACTGATCTCCCTTAAACTGCAAATCTCGACAAGGAAAATCCGAGATATTTATGAGGTCGTCCAACTCTACTGGCTTTTCCTGGAAAATATTTTCTTCTTCACTTCTCACTTCTTCAAACTGTTGGCATGTTTGATCTTGGTCACTGTTTCTGAAATCCAAACCTGTCGGGCCACCCTTGTTTGGACAGAGCACACCACCATTGTCTGAATCCAGTGTGTGAAATCCAAGAGGAAATGGCTGTTCTGACTCCCACTGTGTGTGCCCCAAAGGGCCAGACAGGACTGTCGGCTCCATTTATATTGGCTGTCCCACTTTGCAAACTTGAGAAAGCTGGCGACGTCTTATCTCACTGCTGTTGTAAAGATCCAATTCTTCAATCTTAATGCCATGTTTTTAAATGGCACCAGTGAAATCTTGATACGAACCTGTGGAAATCCTACAAGCATTGTCTGCTGCTAACATTTAGAAATGCTGGCAGGTATAGTAGTGATTTTTATAAATAACAGTATAGTGTTGACCAGTAAGGGTAGTTTTAAGAAGGTAGGTAGGTTGAGTAACAAGAGTCAGTCAGGCAACAGATTAACAAACTGTATTTGTTAGTTAAACTGCCATCCACGTCTCAACAACGATGTTCCCTAAATTCAAAATTCATATGAATGTCTTAGCCTCACTGAATATCGTGCTGATGTAACTGTGCTTTGACTCACTACGTCCCTGTCTGTCATGGCAGGTCCTCTCCTGCTTGTTGCCAAATGTTTCAGCTCCAGCACATCCAACGTCAACATGCTTCACTTCCACCTGAAAGCTGGCAAATCCCCGAAATAAGGTCTCAGGACTGGGCTGAACATAACGTCGGACAGCACCTCGGCTCGACGGCCGATTTGAAACAACACAAATGAACGCGTTAGGTCGCCCGTGTTTGTCAACATTAGCTTTCTTAGCCGATTATCCAACGTTATCCATCGCAAGCTAATTTGCCGAGAAGCCGACGGAGCAGCGGGGAAACGGTGCGACCTGTGTTACTCAAACCTTCATTCACCTCTAGCTATAACGTTAAACCTCTCGTTACGAGACGGTTAACCAAACACAAACCAAGTCAACCCCCCCTTCCAGTGGTTTTATGCTGGCAACTATCGCTAACTCCTCCTTCGAGCATCCCACTTCTTCCTCTCCAGCTGCTAACTGACGAGCTAGCGAAATTAGCCTATTAGCTAGCTAACAGTCCCGCGTCTACCTCTCTCGGTTAAACGCAACCAAACAATAGCTTCAGCACCCCGGGGGGGGGGGTTTTAACGGGGTAACTGCGGATATCTTCGCTCCTGTGATAGCCCAAGATTATGCCCTCATTTCGATGGCGTTTTCCTTTCCAGCGGCGATCCACCTGTGTCAGTAATCAGACGAGGCCAGACGAGTGACGAGACGAAACCGCTGTTCCCCCTCTTCAAATTCTTCTGTTGCTCTCGTCTCAAAAAACACATCCGTCACAGAGACCCTCGTCCGCACTCACAGTGAAACGAAAATGGCAATAAATAACGCCAAAAAAAGCTCCATCAGTCGGCAGTCAGCCCGCCGATGTTGATCACAGACACCGAAACCTCTCGCATCAGCATCAGCAGTGTCCCATCCTCCTCCTCCTCCTCCTCCTCCTCCAGCCGCATACACACCGCTGACGTTTCACGCAAGCGTACAAAACACCCCGCAGTATCATTCGGCTTTCCAGCAGCTATCAGTGGCGATCTGTGTTTGTGCACAAAAACCCATGGTTATGATATTCAAAACAGTGTGTCCTTGCACTCATATGTGGGTTATTAAGTAAGCGCCCCTTCACACAGAGGGTCAAAGTTCAGGGTCAGATGGAGGGGCTTTAACACTGACAGGATGACACTTGAGTCATGTTTGTCTGAGAATCCACAAGATTTATCAGTTTAAGGGGCTGTTTCTGTAAGAATAAATGACTCAGATATATACACATCCCTGTATGAAATAGTTGGAGAACTCAAGCAGTGTTGAATGGTTGCAATCGTAATGTTTTGGCGCCCCCGTCTGACTTAGATTGATATTGATTTTCTTTAGGTTTGCAATGGCTGTATCTCATTTAAGTCATATGATCCAGTGGACCTAAACCTTTGTGGCTTGTGACTCTTTAGAGCAATATAATAATATAATATACCGCCTGACCTTAGTGTGGATTTTTTTAAAAGCTTTTTTAAAAGAATTTAAGCGCCCAAAGAATTCAAACTATCCAATATTTCACAAGACAGAAGGGAAAAAAAAAGAAGAAAATCATTTTTTTGTGTATGTGTGTGTGTAACAGTAATGTGTTTTATTTTGTTTGCTTGGTTGGTTCTTCAATCAACTTGTGAACTCTCAGGTCTTGACCCCTTGGTAGGAACTACAAGTTTAATCTTTTTAATGCACATTAAAAACAGTCTGTCCCTTTCCACAGGTACAATTAAAGAGTCAGCGATCAAGGTAAAAAAGAAAAAAAGACATATGACTTACAATAGTAAATGCAAACAGCAGTCACTGTTAATTGTAATTATAAAACTTTTACTACCAAATGAGGTACTGAAAATGACATGTGATAAACATGACTGTACATGAAATGCATGATGACAACACACAGCAGTGTTATGGGTAAAAAATCCCCCAATTGTTATATAATTTCATTCATTACTAAGATTGTAAACACATATAATACATTAAGTGTAGTATGTTAGTGTTCAACTCCTCCAGCCACTTGCCAATACACTCTTAAGGGCAACAGTAGGTGAGACAAACCACAAATATTGTACATGTAGCATATGAGTACTACAGATGGCCCCTAAATCACTCTTGTTTTCAGCATCTACTTGTCTCTTTTCTTTTCAGATGACCAATAACCTAAAGGGAAGAAGAGAGACAAGTGGATTAATATGGATTATACTGTATTCCTTCCATTTAAACAATCAATTTCTCTTTAAATCTCTCTTCAATGCACCACACACATTCTCAGTCATACTGCGTCTCCACATGGACCTCAAGCTGTGCCTCCTCCTACACACCTGCGTCAGGAGGAGGACAGAAGAGCCCCTGTTCAGAGTTTAGCGGATTTAGAGGAGGCTATACCCAACAGCATGGAGACGTCGTTGGCCGATGTCAGCCACGCTCCGCCGTCCGCCACCAGGATGGATCCAGTCACATAGGTGGAGGCCCGGCTGGCCAAGAAAAGAGCGCAGTGGGCCATTTCTGTCTTGTTGCCTGCTCGCTGCAAAGGAATGGACTGGAACGCACCAGCAGCCTCCCCTCTGGGACCACCTGAGGGATTTAAAAAGAAAAGAAAATCCATGATCAGATACTCTGCACTGTCATACTGCGCATCAGTGGTTGCCAGTGTTTTCTTCTGACGTAGCCACAAAGCCCTGTTAGATGAGC